CCCCAAAACCCCAAAACCCCAAAACCCCTCTTCAATGATGATTTCTAACTGATAGATGCTACTGCTACAATAATTAAATCGAAAATAATTATAATTCTTTCGAAAATGTATTTAGAACCACCTAAAAGGCCACCAATAAAATATGCACCCAAAAATCAAGATTTTGTGAGAATGAGATATTATTCCAAGCTAAAGGATAATTATCAGCGTCTTGATGATAGTTTCAACAAGGCTCCTACTCATGTTATAGATGCCAATCTTTTTATAACATCTTTGGATGTCTATGGTATTATTGAAATGATATTTATATTATTTTAGGACTCAAAAATAATTAGTCTAAACATGGTTCTTTTACTATTATCTTTAGTGTTTGGAATTCACTACTAGGAGCATCTTTAGTTACTATACCTTGGGCATTTTCGAATGCAGGATTAGTTCTAGGATCCTTGATAATCATGCTAAGCTTTGCAATAAGCTATTACACTTGCTGGTTGATATTGAAACTAGCTAAAGATGAAGAATAAGATTTTACAGAAACTCTTTAAAGATATTTTGGGAAATTCGGGTCTTATCTAGGCATCCTCTCAGCTATATTTGCCTTAATGATTCCTCTAATGTTTTTCTTCTAAATCATCTGCCAAACTCTTTTCCCTTCGATAATTGCAATGACTTCAACGTTATAAAATCCAACTATAGATCTCTACCCAGATTTTAGCAAATTCTCATATTCCTATACATGCTTAGCCATTTTTGCACTTCTATTTATTGTGAGTCTAAAGAAAGATCTCAAAATATTCATCAAAATTAACAGCTTTGGAGTCATCTTCACTATCATAATTATTTTGTTTTTAATCGGAGTGGGGGTATCTGCTCTTTAAGATACAAATTTTGAAGTAGTTGAGACATATGATAATTCTTAATAAAATGATATAGAATCTGAGAGTTACACATTGCAACTTTACTCTTTATAATTTGCTCCTTTGATGGGAATAATGAATGGAGGGTTTTATTTCCATAATCTTGCTATCCCAATACTGAAGAACTCATCAAAAAAAGAAAATAATGCAAGAGATGTTTTCTTTGGCTATTTCTTAGCCTTACTATCCTATCTTGCCTGCGGATTACTTGGATATATTGGATTTTCAGGAAAGTAATTTAATCATTAGCCTATAGAACAAAACTGTCTTAACATGTTTACCCCTAACAATCCAATGGCATTTATAATTAGGGGATGCGTCGCGTTTTTATTGATTACATTGTTTCCCTTATTGTTAACTATTTAGAAGCAATAGTTCTGGATCCTATATCAAAAATTTAAAAGTAGGAGAAGGTACGATTACAAGAGATATTAAAAGCAAATAACCCAAAGATTTTCTATAATATCTTGTATTTTCACACTTATATTTATCACAATAATTGCAATATACTACCCAAAGGCTGGATCCTTGGCTTCAATCCTCGCTTCAATATTCTGTTACTTCTTTGTATACCTAATACCGGCTAGCTTGCACATAAGATAGCTCTATCTAGATCATTACGGTTCTAAATAACCTGACCTAAATACAATTAATTAGAATGAAAGTATTTACTCAACATGCTTGCTAGATAAGAGCATTAACGGATAAAGAGATGATCATAATTAGTATAGTGCTTAAAAGTCTTAAGCGAATAGAAACACACTTGATAGATAGTATATTTCAGTATCCCCAGCAGATTTGAGCTTTAACATTCAAAAGCCTACATAATCTTTCCCAAAGACAAGTATCCTGCTTATTGCCTTAGATGTACTAATTATGCTATACGGGCTAGGTGTTTTAGCTCTTTAGTATGTTAAACTTTAGTGATATTCATTAAGTATGACATAATTGCTATACTTTTAAAGCTACAATATATTTTGAGCTTCAGCTATACCTTGAATTAAATTAAATTGATTTTCCTTATAGAAGAGTTTACTTTGTTTTGAGGGGTTTTGGGGTTTTGGGG